TTGTAGCTTTGTAGCGATGGAGATTCGAACCTGCGACCCTCAGATTGCGAGTCGAGCTCCTTAACCACCTGGCCATTGAAAGTATAAGGAGCTACTAAAAGTAGCTCCCGTACTGCCAAAGGCAGCTTAATCTAGGGTGGTCTAGGGGCATGCTCAGAAAATTAATGTAATAATATAATTTACAGTTGCTGTATAAGTCAAATATGTAAAAGTGGGGGCGCTACAGCATCCCAGGTTCCGACACCTCTAATATCTAACATAGAGTTCAGCAGTGTTTTATTTTAAACATATCATAGCCTAAGTTTTTGAAAAATGTAAGTTTTTAATATCATAATATAAGATTATATTTTGCACTGAAATGCAATTTTAAAGACAATACATATTGAAACTTTCACCTAGTCCCCATTCATCCGCCCATCCAATAAGTTTGTTTATTTGGAATTTCGGGCAAAGCTACACGAGGGGTATCTGTACTAGCCGTACATAATTTAGCAGTGATTGACTAGAGGGAAGGCAGCTGGTCAACACCACCCTCCGTCAACTCTTGTGCTAATCTTTTATCAACGAATAGTGGAATTGTACGTCGCATAACAACGCCACTCCCCCACAGCTAAAATAGGGACCATATTTAGTGTGACAGGAACTGAAATCCACGACCCGCAGATTGCGAGTCGAACGCTCTCACCACCAGGCCATGCCGGGCCGAATATTTAACTACCCCTGACTTTTACCAAAAAGTGACAGAGGATGCGGTGTGATAAACTGTACTGATGATAGAAGAGAATGCTGAATGATTATATTTTTGACTTTACGACCATTTTTAGTAAGAAAGAAGAAGATGTTTTACAAATTACATTAAAGCTTATTTTAAAAGAAAATTTGCATAAACACAAAACTGAATACATGCGGTTAAACTAACCTTTCTGCAATTTTGGTCAGACATAATGTAGGAAGTTCTGATAAATTCCTAAAGGCAAATAACATTTTACACTTTTTTATTTAAAATCTTTTGCATCAATGTAGTTTTTGAGATTAATAATGGTAAGGAATTTATTCAAATATTACCCAAATAAATTCCACCAAATTATAGCCTGTTAATGTTTTTGCATTATTACTCTCTATAGTAGATTGCCTAATAGTTAGGGCGCTTGACTCGCAATCTGAGGGTCATGGGTTCAGATTCCCATCACCGAACATGATCGTTCTTTAAGTCTAGAGATCGTTATGATATTGCGGCCAATCCCACAATTCGTTGGTAAAAGAGTTGACGGAGTGTGGTGTTGATTAGCTACCTTCCCTCTGGTCTATCACTGCTAAGTTAGAGACGGCTAGCGCATATTGCCCTCGTATAGTTTTGCGCGAAACTTAAAAGAAGACAAACTTTATCCTAGAATTGAAGATGATTATGGTTTATTTGGTGTTAATATCTTTTTTCGTAAATACACTCTGGATTAAAAATATATACATATCATTTTGCAAGAATTACGTTTAATTTTGAATAATTGCTCCATTTTACCAACATTTAAGAGGAATGGCCATAAGTTCTCGTATGGCTCTACAGATTCAACCCTAGTTATGTATTTTATTGGTATAAATGTTTAATTAACGATTGACCACTAGGAGATTGTATTAACTTTTTAAGAGTAACTTGTAAACTTTTTAATTTTTATTTTGTCATTTAAGAAAATGAGTAAATATATTAATTTTTTGTACCATTCTTAAATAGTTTTAATTTTTATTTCTTAATTCAGTTTCCAATGAAATAATTAAGCTTTATCGTTTCTTGAAGTAATAGTCAAGATAAATGTAAATGGTAAATTATAATAGTTTTTATAAATCAATTAATTCACATAGGCTCTTAAATTTTTTAGTAGCTATCCAAAAATCCATAAACGTACAAAGCTTATTATATAAGTTTGTCTGGTTCATGGATTCTTTACTATTTACAGCATTCTGTTGCTAGAAAAACGTGCTCCATCCTTTGAGGCCGTGCTATAAGAATCATAGTCAATAGCTATTATTCAGACAAAATTAGCCCCATAATTGACGGTGGGTGGTGTTCATTAAATGTCTCTCCTCTATTCTACTCTATTAGTTTAACTTTGCAAAAAATTCCCAAATAAATAAACACTTGTAAAACTGTGACCAACATTGATAACTGCAATGCAAGAGATTTGAAGGGAAATCTTGCGCGAGTATAAAACGAACTTAGACAGCAAGAAATAGAAACTTAAATTAGTGTACAGCCCCCAGTGACTCAACGGTACGTCTGAGGGCTTACACACCGCTAAAATCTGGGTTTTGATACTCTTGGTGGGCACAGCACATATAATCCGTTGTGTAGTTTGTAGTTTACAACAAACCAATAAACACTAGTATACACAAAATAATAAAAAAACTTTATTAATAATCAAAATGTTGGTGTCTCACTTATATAGATATAGCGATACGGTGGCTACTTCTGGAAACAAAATCAAGATAGAGTGATTTTTGTATCTGTGAATTTTATGTTTATAGATGAAATAACTAAGTAACTTTTTAAAATTATTGTATTCATTGTAACTGATTCCAGGACGGCATTATTTTCGATTTCTATATGTTTTTAATAAGATCCGCCCGAAATATGCAAATTTAATGGTGTGCGGAATGAATAAATTAACGAGTATAGCCGAAAGTACCTTAGTTTTGCACAACAAAGGTAATGAAATTTACAAAATTATACTTTCGGCACTAACAACGAAAATACAATGATAATTATATGATAAAATTTCAACACCAATAAATAAGTTGTTCAAAGTTTACTTAAATTTAATTTTTACTCCATATTCTCATTCCTCTCTCGGCCTGGCATGGCCTGGTGGTTAGGGCGCTTGACTCTGAGGGTCGCGGGTTTAAATCCCCATCACCGAACATGCTCGCCCTTTCAGCTGGGGGGGGGGGGGCAGTCATGGGGAGTTATAATGTGACGTTCAATCCCACTATTCGTTAGTAAAAGAGTAGCCCAAGAGTTGGCGGTGGATGGTGTTGACTAGTTGCCTTCCCTTTAGTCTATCACTGCTAAATTAAGGACGGCTAGCGCAGATAGCCTTCGTGTAGCTTTGCGCGAAATCCATAACAAACAATCATATCAGTTTTTCAGGCATTTTACCGATATCGATTTTTTCTCGAAATACCGATTACTGATTTTCCTACTAAATAATTGCCTATATACCGGTTTATAAACTTATAATCAAATACTTAATTTCCGTGAAATTACTTTTTTGTTTGTAACTGACAGCGAAATGATATTATTTTCGATTTTTATATATGTTTTTAACAAGACGAGCATAAAATTCGCAAATTGAGTGAAAATGGTTTGCGGAATGAAATAATTAGCGAGTATAATCTAAGTACCTTTATCTCGTACACAAGTATTACAACAAAGTCAACGAAGTTTACGTATCTAGAAGGTTTAGACATGGTATGCAATTTTTATGTTATTTTTATTATAAAAACATCAGGTATGTTAACAGCTTCTGGATACTAAATGTGCATAATATTATTATATTTTAGGCTCTGGCCTTTTATATCATTGTTTCGAATTAATGCAGTTGCTATTGGTTATATAAGTGTGGCATATAGCCATACTATGGGTTTCATACGTTCTTACTTCAGTGTATCGTTACTATCGGAAATACCCAAATGTTGATTCTCAACTTTACATTTGCTTTCTTTTCTGTACTATTCATTGTTCTATTTTTCAATATTAA